TTTTTTTAATAATCAAAATATGAATTACGCATTTATATAATCCATAATTACGTTATACGAGCTTCTATTCTAAATTCAAAGTTAAATTTATATCGTGGGAAATATTTTAGCACATTCATTACATTGTATGAATAATATTGCAGAAACCCTGTATATACGACGACGTAGCCAATTGCTCAGAGAAAATTCAAAATTTAAGGTAATTATTGCATTGTTATTGTATTTGTAAAGGTAAGAACTTGCCTACTACACAGTACAAAAGATTGAATTGTTACATTCAACACATTACCGCACTTCTGGCTACGACACGACTGGCACATGCGTCACTCAGACTGATTTTAAATGAAAACAAAAAAATAACCTAACTAAGTGGATATTTAGCATTATTACTATTTTGAAAAAAGAACACTATTCTCTTGAGAATTGAAAATGAAATTTTCTTCTAACATTGCAGGACATTGAAACAATAAAAAAGTACTTGAATATAAGAAGTCAGCTGCTACAGCGCCGATATGGGGTGCAGGATAACATCTCCATCAGTTCTGCATCGTCTCGGCCCAGATCAAGTAGCAAAGTATGTTAAATGTTTATAAATTACTGCAAACATCTGTAGGAATTACCAGCTTCATAGAACTTCAGTGAAATCTTTACACTATTGTCAGTGGAAATCGAATAGTAAATTGTACAACAAGTGCATAAAACGCGTCATTTTACCCATGACGAGTATATCCACCCGAGCTGCAGGTGACGGTGGATACTTAAGTTGAGGGTAAAATGAGTTTTATGAACGAGTTATACAATCTGCTCTAAATGATTATTTAATTAAAATTGAATGTAAAATTACAACAATTAGACATATTTAATGTGATGGTTTTTTTATTATATGCACTAGAGCATAAAATCCTATTTTATGCAGCCTACACCCAGTATAAATACGAACTTTAAGAGCATGAGAAGTGAAAAATATGTTATATGCCATAGTGTACCTAGTAGGAGTTAATTTTAAAGTCTTGAAGTGACTTAAGCTAAAAGCACTATGAAAATGTGCACCAATTTATCAAAATAGGCACTATGTCATTGAGTTGTGTACAACATCCCATTACACCTTATCACTGTACCAAGTGCTCCAATGACTATTTCAACACCGGCAAATACACTATGCTAACAAAATTTTTGTTAATTTTGTGTTTTTAATGCTAAATTATTTAACAGAAAACAACACAAAAAATAATTCATTCTCTACTCTATTACAAATAACTTGTAGTAAAAAACCATTAATATATATTTGAAAATTTCTTTTTATAGGCTCTGATGAAAAGTTGTAATTTTTAAGTGTTAATTGCTGGTGTTGATTTCTCATACCTTTACCAATATTGTGTTGATTTTGTCAATAGGTACTTGCTACTTTATTAGTATCATTATTATAAATAATGTTCATGAAGCAAGAGGGTCAGGGCTATGCAATTCTAATGAAGTCAGTTTTCATTTCTATATTACTACTGAGCATGTGAAATTTGATGCAGACCACTTATAGAGGACACAAATTAACTCAAAGTGGTATTTTGTCGTTTTTTTAATGCCAAATTAACTCAAAAATCAGAAAATTCAAATTCAAATTCAAATTCAAAAATCATACTAATATAATATGTATTATTTGAAAATTAAAAAGTTATTGCAAGTACTAGTGAATAGTTGCAATTCTTTAGTTAGCATAGTGTTAATTGCTTGTGTCAGTTTTACCTTTTCAATGAAATGTATGATTTTATTTGTGTACATAATATATTATATAAAAAAATGAATAGTATACATAGTATATTCATCAATAATATTAATATATTATGTACACTTAAATACATTAATCAAGTACTCTCTATTTTATCCAGAAAATCACTTCGCAATCAGTTTGTTGCATTGCATGAAAAATTGTACAAAAAGAAAGAAACCTAAGACCGGTTTAGTTCATTGTATTATTTTGTACTTTATTTTTATTTCTGTATTGGGCTATTTCAGGCAAGTTTAGCAGTAGAAGAAGTTTACTCACCATCTGGAGCCAATTTGAAGAAGAAAAATGATCTCACTATATCAGAGAACTATGCTTTCACTGGAGTACATCATATATTTGATCAGGTATACAACTAGGCCTATAGTTAGTAGCGTCTGTCGTCTAAGGTTTGACAACCCCAGCTGGTTGTGTATTTGCTGGAAGTAGCATCTTCTGTACATTTTGTATTTATTATTATTATTTTTCACATGTCCTTAAAGATAGATTTGAATGAAAAAAGTGGCTATCCCGGCTATAGGCAGAGTCGGCCGGGGTCGGGGACTGGGGTTCAGGAACCGGCGAACGACAAGTGCCGCATTTTGTAATTTTTTTTATAGATACTAAGTGACGGAACGAACGGACACATCCGAAGAACAGAGTCCGATGTGATTATACAGCGAAACGAGAATAATTACAAAATCCCGATATTGAAAGTAAAGCCTATCTATAGCTGTTTTCAGAATTTATGTTATTTAATTTTGGAAACATAAAATCGAACAACCGTCGATCTGATATCCACAGTGAAGAACAATAGAAGTGTCCTGAGAATAAGCAGTCTTGCGCAAAGGTCTTTGTTCTACGGACAAGTCGGAACAAGTCACGGGTCTGGTGGTAAACGACACACCTGTTCATAACAGTTGCAGTGCCACTAAGATCTTTATTTAAATCTCTAAGTGGCTCTGCAACTGGTACGGATAGGCGTGTCGTTTACCACCAGGTGCACGACATGTTCGTCCCATTACTTGGCATTATAAAATTCTTAATTGCTTAAATGCTTCAGTAATATGTAACAAAAACTCGTGCATCGGAACACATTTTTTTTTCTCATCTCAATACAAGAGTTATTTACATTTATAATTATAAGTGAGTTGCAGTTGCAAAGGCTTGTGCTAATAATTATATTTTAAATAAATATGACTTGTTTATCTGCGATTGCACATTGTGAAATAAATTAATAAACATGTTAAGTTATTTATATGAAGTTCAATGACAGTTGATACTTAAGAGCAAACAGAATTTATCTCAAACGTCAAGGGCATGATATTTGCTATATCAATGTAAATTTCACTGCATTCAATGTAAATAAATGTTTTAGATTGAGATTCCGTTATAGAGGTCATTACGTTATTAAAAATACGTTTGTGAAATTGTTATGAAGTAAAAGCAGTTACTTAATAGACCACATCGCATTTGGCTCTCTGATCTCGAAGTAACTAAAGCACTTGTGTTATGGAAGTCGGAAACAACGACGGAACTACAAACACCCAGATTCGAGACAATATAGAAAAGTTGGTTTCTAGATAGATCCAGCTGGAGATCAAACACGGGACCTCAGAAATGGCGACACTATGAAAAGCAGTGTACAAGCCAGTCGACCACGGAATCGTCGAGGAGGTAGTCTTCTTCTTAAGGTGCTATCTCCTACCGGGGTCGGCTGTCATTAGCGTTGCCCAGGGTGGCACCTTAGACATAAGATGACAAGTGCCATGTGCCTGTAATTTTACCCTTACCTTTCAAACCGGAACGCAGTAATGCTGACATTACTGCTTGGCGGCAGAAATAGGTAAGGGGGCAGTACTTTCCTGGACGAACTCTACAGTAGCTGTAGAGCCTCTTGTGAAAGAATATATTGTCTTTGGGTGGCCGGAATGGACGCAAAAGTTGAGGCGAATTTATCCTGTAATAAAATAGAATGAATCTAGAATTAACATAAATAAATGCCTTTATATCAAACATACACAAAGAGCATTCATTGGTCTAGTAAAGAATATTACAGCTACTAAATTTGGTTCCCAAGTTGATACTACAGGGAATCGCAACCATGACATAGCATAGACATCCGACAAACTGTCTCCGTGACCGAACAGTTACCATGCCGGACTGTCACGCAGAGGTCCCAGGTTCGATTCCCGGGCCGGGAGAAATATTTGTATGGCTTACATTTATTTCTCGTGAGTTTGTGTATAATATGTGGTTGTTTATGTGTGTGTCCGTGGCACCCGTGACACAGGGTTTCCCTAGTACGGGGCTGTGTTGAGTGTATGCGCTATTATTATTGTTATTACATCTGGTGCCCATATTGCTAACTGGTGGACCACCGAGGACTTCATATCCATACATTTTTTGCCTTTTGAGGTCGAAGATTACGATATTGCTCTTTGACATTATGATGACTTCATTGGTAGCACACGGACCAAGTGAGCATGGTGAAGTTCGCGAACAACGACCGGTCGAAGCTGTGCTGCGCGTCTCACGACGGCACCGTGTCCATCTGTGACGTCACCGCCACCCCGCCCCGCGTCAGCGTCATCCTCGAGGGACATTCCAAGGCCGTCACAGGTACACTCATCTACAGACGTAGATGTATTTATCTACAATAAAATTGCCATTACACAATTTACATTACCAAGTGAATCGGAATGCAGTAATGCTCTTATTCGGCAGAAATGGGTACTGTGGCAGTACTTCTCCTTGTGCGAAAGATAGCCCAGGGAAGTACTGCCACCTTACCTATTTCAGCCAAGCATTAATGTAAACATTACTGTACATAATTGTTTGAAAATGTGATTTGAAATCGCGATTCTCCAGGTCCATAACCTATTTCATGGTCAGAAATATGTTGTGCTCTGCCTACCGATGGAAGCGATCCGAGCTCCAATGGTAACGCAGATAGCGGCCGCATGGGCCTGTGTATAGTAGTAATTCGCGGACCGAATGGGTATGTTTAACTATGGCTGTGAATGTTCTTTTCCTTTCTCAACATTCAACAACGACCTGTCAATATCGCGACGTCCAGAATAGCCTCTAGGCTAAGTGTGTAGAGCAAGGTATACAGATGGGAGCGATCTGTTGTCGATGTTGAACGGTCAACGCAGGTAGCGGCCGTTCGGACCAGTGGATGAGAGTTCCACGGCCCAAATTAGACGTCATTAAGTTTGTTGTTGTTCATCGTAATACTATACGGACACGAGGTCGTGTAGTATCCAGGATGGCCGAACTGTACAATAGTTTTATTGTAGGTTGATGGAATATGTATTCGTGCATAGTAAATTAATGTAATACCTGTTTCCTAGCACATAATAAATGGTATCGTTGTATAATGTTTAATTGCGATATCAGTTTAATTCGAAGGTTGCTGGGTATGGGTGCTGGTGAAATTACAGTCACAAGTGACTCGTCAACTTATGTCTCAGGGTGACGGGCGCAGTGCCAGTGACCATAAGATCTTTGCGATTTGTAGTTCTGAGTGAGACTACAACTGTTATGGGTAGGCATGTCGCTTACCACCAGGTGCACGACTTGTTCGTTCCGTCACTTAGTATTATAAAAAAAAATCCCTGGACAAACTTTTCAACAAGGAGTTCAACTGCTTGAGTCACTGCAACACAGTGCGTCTTAGTCAACCTCAAAACCATCGTCTCTTTCAACATGCTCTACAAATTCATGTCACCTTATTGCAGGATGCGACTGGTCTGCATCGAACGAGCTTGTGGTCACATGCGGCATGGATGGCGCACTTTGTTTATGGGATGTGAACCGACGCACGCGCTTGAGAACCGTCTCCGATCAACTCAACGCACCCATACTCTGCTGTGTGTTCCAGCCTGCTAATAATAACATGGTCATCGTATCCTTTACAATATAAATGACAATAAACTATACTTCCTTATATTCAATTAAAAGTTGTGCATAATTATTTTACTTCGTCACATTAACTTAAAACTTGTGCATAATTATTATACTTTTTTTTAATAATTTCAAGTGACGGTACGAACAACTCGTGCACCTGGTGGTAAGCTACACGCCTGTTCATAACAGTTGAGTGCCACTTAGAGCTTTAAATCGCAAAGATGTGATGGAAACTGCCACTGCGACAAGTCCCATAATGTACCTGTAATTTAGTTTAGTTAAATGTTGTGCATAATTATACTTCGTTATGTAAAATTAAAAGTTGTGCATAATTATACTCAGATATATGTTAACAGAAAAAGTGTTTTGAATAAAAAGTGGAGTTATTGGAGACGATCAAAAAAGCGTTCTCTTCTAATGGCATCATGGAAAATTCAATTCTACAAAATGGCTCGCTAATACCGTTCATTCACAGTAATTCCATGTACTCAGTTCCATGTAGAACAATTGTAACGCACACGTATTGAAACGCGTACTTATTTCTTGGCGGGAACAATCGACTGTGTAGACAGGCTTTAAGTTTTTAGGAACAAGTGAATAATATATTCATTTTCCTCAACATCAATTTACATTCAGGCGGGCAACGCTCGTGGAATGGTAGAAGTTTTGAATATATCCACTGGAATATACCCTAGAGGTAAATAGGAGTTGTTTTTATCAACCCATATACGTGCCACTGTTGGTCACCGGTCTATAAGCTTACTTTTATTTTATAGGAGGTAGCAGTATCCTCGGTGGTCGAGTTCTTTCTATAGCGTGCGACTCGAGTGGACGTATGTTCTGGGCCGCTAATGACAAGGTGAATAATGATTTCATCGTAAACGTCACTTGACCGATTTTCGCACTCGATTGAAGGAAAACAATTATCATTATAACGATAAAAATGATATATTAACTAAACTAACGGATAACTTACGTATTTATTACTACTTTAATATTGACTTTATTTATATACACAGTTCTTATAAGTTTTAATAAGAATGAAGCAAATGATTAGTTTTTTTAACAGATTTCAAAAAAAGGAGGAGGTTCTCAATTCGACTGCAGTTCTTTTTTTGTATACATATATCTCCGGCATTTGTGAACCGATTTTGATGATTTTTCTTTTGTTGAAAAGAGGATACTTCAGTAGTAGTGCCATTTAAATTTGAAGAAAATATTCCACCTCTAAGGGTGGCAAACTAGGGGATGAATGTCTTTTGAGGTCGGTTTTTTTTAGTAGTCTGTACTGAGATTATTTATACTATCAAGTGACGGGACGAATTAGTCGTGCGCCTGACGGTAAGCTACACGCCTGTCCATAACAGTCGCAGTGCCTCTCGGAGTTTTAAATGGCAAAAATCTGAGGGGCACTGCCACTGCGCCTCTCACCCTGAGACATACGTTGACAAGTCCCATGTGCCTGTAATTTCACCAGCACCCTTACCCTTCAAAATCGAAACGCAGTAATGTTCGCATTACTGTTTGGCGACAGGAATAGCTAAAGTGGTAGTAGTTCCCTGGACGAACTCTTTCACAGGGAGGTCTACTGCTATTGTAGGAAAAGTTGCTCGCAGCCGCCTGCGTCCGCAGCCGTACTGAGCTGTCAGGGCTTTGGCGTGCAGTTTCCGTCAAATCACGGTTGCGAAATGTTTTGAATAAGGACCGCGGACTGGTTATAAACATGTCGAACAAAAATTCGACTTAAATACATGACTTTTTACGACATTTTTTGACGACTTAAATGAGTCTGCAAAAAAAAATGTTATCTGCTTTTTTAGTTAATATGTCTGAGTATCTAATAATATAGTAATATGGTAGTTTTCTATTTAAAATAAAAATGATATAATGTGCCTCTTAGCCACACCAAATACTTGGTCTTAAACTAGGAAATGTATATCTCAAATATGAGTGCCAGAGGAAAGGAATTCACTCAGGGGCCCTACTCAGAACACCGAGACGAGAAGAAAAGTTTTCCAAATTGGACCTGCCGGGAATCGAACGCGGGATCTTCTCATCCAGCGCCCACTATTGGTTCACTGATGTTGTCAAACTAGTTCCTGTTGCCATATTATTATTATTAAAAATATAGCACATTTAAAGACAGATTTTTCTAAAACATTTAAAGTACTTTTACGTATTAAGAAAGATTTCTTCCAGACTACCCAACAGGATAAAATCATGCACTGGCAAAGATTATTATTAGCAAATAAAACTATTTTTTCGGTTCTAAATAGCGTCATTTGTTTTTTAAAACAGACCAACGTACCATTTAGATAGTTTCCTTTCCTTTGTATAACAATCGCGAAAATTCAAGAACTCGATAAGATTATTATTATTTTATTATATTAATTGTTACGAATTTGGCAGGGTGTAATAATAAGTTACCGCATGGAAGGTGCGGGCGGCGGGTTGAGCAAACTGCGGCGGTGCTGCGTGGGCGGCGGCGTCACCTGCCTCTCGTGGAGCCCCTGGTTGGCCAGGCACCCTGCGTTGCTTGTCAGCGCGCAGGACAACTCGCTTTACTTGTTCCGGTAGGTATTGCTCAATTTCGATTTGATCTTTGTAATTCAGTCGGCCATGTTCAGGCAACAGATGCTGGTTCGAGTCTAGTTAGAATATTTTAATAGTAATAACAATAATACCATTTAGGATGATGTTTGTATGATGTGATCTACGACATCACACATTGTTTTATAAATTATGATTAATTAATTATTTGTTTGACATTTTTTTTTCCACATTATCATCAGCTTGTTTTTCCACAACTATTATTTTTAAGACTTTCATATGATAAATACACTTTTAACCACATGCGGCTATTATCACAAAACAACAAAATTTAATAGTAGTGCTTAGTTTGCATGCCACGTGCGCTAACAGTTCGCGGAGTTCCGCCAACTTGAGCTTAGTCTTATTTCGCTACTCTGGAGTACAAAAATGGTAGTCGCACTTATAATATTGTCTGTGGTGGTATTTCGTATCATCATTGTCATTTTATTTAAATTTAATAAATTTTCAATTTTATGTTTGTATAATCATTTTTTGTTACAAGAAACGAAAGTAAACCTGACACTGCTGCAATATGGTCGCTTCTCTTTTGGGAAACTAAGGGTCGTATTCTAGAACTCTACTCAATACTCAAGTCAGGACTTGAGTATTGCAGTGAGCACTGAAAGTCATACATAAGTCCTTGCCATTAGGGTCGTATTTCCAGTGCTTGTGTTTCCAGTGCAATACTGACTTGAGCATTGAGTAGAGTTCTAGAATACGACCCTAAGTAAACATCTCAAATTCGTCGTCGTTCAGGTATTAACCGCTAGATGGTGGCACATTGATTGAAATTTAAATATAAAATCAAAATAGTCGTAACTTGCAATAATAGGTATTGAACTATCAACGATATGCTAACAGGGTAAAATTTAAATTATATTAACAGTCCAGAATTAGTTATTTGTTTTTAAATTTTAAATTACGACCAATCATTATCAAGATTTCATAGTGTTTCAAATGATGAATGTCTGGGTTTCTTTGCTTTTTTTTCTCCTGCGGGCTCTATCATACCAAGGGTGGGTAATTGAGGGTGATATACATAATACACTTTGTTATTCTCAGGATAACCGACCGCGAAGGCGCTCTGTCGCTAAAGAAACGTTTTGACATACTGGCGACGCACCAGACGATCCGGTCTACGTTCTGCCCGATCATGTCGTTCCGGCGCGGCGTGTGCGTCGTATCCGGTAGCGAGGACTCGTGCGTCTACTTCTTGGATATTGAAGGCCGCGCTGAACATCCCGTTGTTAACAAGTTGCAAGGTAAGCTTGTTAAGTATTTATTAAATGAAAATTACAACAGAGATCATGGGAATTTTTGACATTTTCTTCTTGTAATTAATAAATGCAATTTACGGCTTTCCACTCTGCTATATCTTCACAAATATAACCGGTCTAAAAGGGTCAAATGAAATAGTAATAATATGAGTGTATGTATTCTACGAAATAACATTTTGGTGGTAATAAGTACAAGTTTTGCTTTTGATGCCAAAAACGCCATGCCAAACATGCAGAATATCAAATTAGCATGATGCCAGATTCTCATAATGTCCGAAGCAGAATGCTTCACCTGCAAGGCTTGTTCCAATCAGTGAGATTTGGCACCCTGCTAACTGATAAAATCCGACGATAGCCGAACTACGAAGGTTGCCGAGAGATAATAAGAAAATAGTTGTACTCAATGATATTATACTGTTGTACTGTACTGCACAGTAGTAAAAAAATCCGTAGTAATGATTATTTAAATGTTTTAGGTCACGCGCATCCCGTGCTGGGCGTAAGCTTCAGCTATGACGAGAGCCTGTTGGCCACCAGCGATGTCTCCGGCCTCGTTATTATCTGGCGCAGGAGTTGACCATTCCTTCCTAACAAGAGAATAGACAGTTAAAGGAGACGTGCTGTAATAGAGCGCGTAGACACTATCGAACATTGTGAGCCAGTTTGGGATATATTTGCCAACATCGGGGGACACGGCTGTGTCCCGCCAAAGGCGAGGAATTACGACCGTATTTTGTCCATACAAATTGCGAACCTTTCCCAGCGTGCAAAATTTGCTACTAAAATCGACTAACTCACGACTTTTACTGGTCAATCAGTTAGCAGCTGTGGTTCTCGAGATTGAAAAATAAGCTTATTTAAGTGTAGACAGTAAATCACCCTTATAACTTTTAAACGGTGGACCGACTAAATCGAAATTTTTTGCGACTAGAACAGACTAAATGGAGACTTTTGTCTGACTAATCAAATTTTTAAAATTCGACCATGATTACGCTGGAATAAGGGACGCATATATATCGTGTCACTCCTAATTAAGACGTATACATAATAACTAAGTAAAATTTTGTCAACATTGACTAAGCCATACTATCCTACTTAGGTTTCAAAAAGCGAACATTCATCCCAAATGTATGTTTATCTATTTTGCATGTGAATAGAACTCATTGATCGGCAAAATCGATTGTTACAAAAAAATGTAATCGGAAACGCATTAGGACATCACTAATTGATTAGAATTCGAGGTAGCAAAAGTTAAATAAATGGAGAAAAATTGAAAGCCAGAGGACGAAAATTTTACTACTACTAAATAAATGGTTGGATGGAGTATAGATATACATTTTTCTACGCAAATGTACGTATCAATGAAAATAATTGGTAATCCAATACAATTTCTTTTTATTTCTTTATAAAATTTTGCGACTGGAACCGACTAATTAACGACTTTTTCTGGGTGCAGATCTAATATAAATTCCAGACAATTTTGATATAACGATGATATGTTTTGTGCAATTCTGGAATATAAGTTATAATTTATATGCAAAGAGTAATATGAAAATAAAAACAAGTTTCATTATTTCACGAGTTTTATTAATTATTTTTTTGTTTCATAGAAATACTTTTAAAAGACTCGACAAAGTCGCAATATGAAAAGACTTCCAATGCGTTCACATTCACAATACTGCCGACACCTCATACAAACCAATAACAGCTTACAAACAATAAATACTATAATAATGGACAATTCATTCGAGTAATTCCTCATTTTTCTGTGTATAAGAGTAAAGTATACTAATTCATATGGTAGGCGAGATTTCGCAAACTTAAAATTGTACAAAAATCATTGATAGCAACACAAAACCTAGCCGAATAATATCCGCCCTCTCCCGGTATGTTAACAAAATGAACACCTACCGCGTATTTACAACTGTACATTAACAAAAAAAATCTAAAACCATATAAAGAAAGATCAGAACAATAAACACGTAGTACAATTAATACAATCAATAAATTTTCATATTCAAAATTTTTCTTCGATAACATTAAATTATATTTACAGCAGTAATTAAACAACTAAAACGCGATGATATGGAAATGAGAAGAATTGCACATCAGGTTCACACTTGGACGTATTGTATGATGACATAATTTTAGTGGCACTCTTCATGGGGTACACCCGGCAACAGTCAATATCTTTAAACAAGTAAAAAAGAAAATGAGAATCAGTTCCGATGCGAAATAAAAGTGGCGTGTAAAACCTCTGTTGCAGAGTGTACGGTACGCGATGTCGATCTATCGCCACGACTGATTACATCTAAGAACTACGCTTATCTAATATAAACTTTTACTTACCTAAGAATTGGCTTTAACCTCGTGTTTTAGACCGAAATACGAATTTTAAATATCCATTGAGGCTGTTAATAGATGGAAGAATGCGTATTCACTTGTGCGTAGATGTAACGTCAACATAATTTAATGCGATACGGTCTCATACAAGTTTTAATTCCTTAATTAATTATCAGTGGGATCGTAAATACAAGGATCCTCAGTACGGGAATTCCAATACGACATAATCCCGTTACATCGACATTTTTTCCCCTACTACGTTACGCTTTCAAGACTAAATATATACCAATACATTTCTATCTATAAACATGTATGAGACCTTATAATATACTCTAATCAATAATCATCTACATCGTATGAGAGAGTTAAAACTTTACGTATGACAAAACTAGCAATTACAATGGGCACATTACGAATTTGGATAGGCCATTTACGATAATTATATTAGTTTATTACGTAGCAAAATTAGGCTGAATAACGCGGGATTGTAAAACTTATATAGCACTTAATTCATTCTCCATTGTGGTCGATTCTGGTGCGCTATAAGGAACTAATTTGACATGTTTTGATTACCCGTTTCTGTACTTAATTCACTCATTATTACGGTCGATTTTAATAATAATAAGCCAAACAACAGCAACTGTCCGGTCTCAAACTAGGGATTTCCCTGTAGTCTAAGTTCCAGGGGATAGTAATTCACTCACAGGGGCACTACCTAGAACACCCAGAGCAAAACCAATTTACAAAGGTTCATTTCTCAAATTGATTCTACCCGGAATCGAATCTGGGACTTCTTCATCAGCGTTGACAGTGCAAACCGTTGAGCAACCAAGGTCGTCGAATTTTGATGCGCTAATCTAATGTATTGGAAGGGAAAACTACCTCTTCTATAACTTTATTACATTAAGTTGAATATCGCGGCATTGTAAGGCGTATATACTTAATTAATTAATTCGCACTTAATTAATTCTTCAAAGTGATCGATTTTGCTTGATGTGATTTGACAAAAATGTTCGAACAACCCTTAATACGTCTTACAGCTGAGCATGTGTCTCCTATAATGGTTTCGTGCATAGTCTGCCACATTGGCCTATCATTTTCTGTACTAAAAAGCTTTTGATGATATTTTTTTCCTTACACCATTATCACATTGGTTTTGTGATATAGTGGTCATAGTCTACTTTATTATTTTCTGTTCGACAGTCAAAGAATTGTATTAAACAGTAAAAACAGCGATCAAGTTACTTTCATCGAGACGCTCAGAATCGACCATCGAATAGAGATTGAAAAGCGATTATTTATACTGCTTTATGATTATTTTGTACCTTAGTTGTGTTCAGGTTTGTAGTTTCTTACCCGAAAAGTGGATTTTTTTATCATTATAGAGATAATAATCAGCCTGTGTAAGTTCCATAGAAGGGACTTTTCTCTCTTGAAATTGAGAGAGTACATTGAGTAATTTTACAAAATTTAATGAGAAATATATGCAGCTCGTTTTGAATGAAAAGAAAATTATACAATATCCGATATGTTACTATTACTCGGAACATTTTTATAATAACGGACGACAATTCCTTCATTTCGAATAAGCAACACAGTATAATAGTAACAAGTTTGGTAATACTATCTTATTTAGTACTTAATGGCATTATTTAAGCGGTCGGAATAACAGGCAAGTTATTGCACGTTCTAAGCTTATTAAGCCTAACAATGAGGATTAAAATATTTTAAAACGTTCTTGCCTATTGTTCCCCCGGCTTTAACGTACGCGGTAAAATGAATTCTACGTACCAGAGGACCGTTTTGGACAGTCACTTTTCTCACCACTTGTCCTGAACTTTACTACACGTATAAAACGCAAGCATTTTATAGATATCTTTATGTGTCATATATTACACCCATCAATAAAATGTACTTTCTGAACAGCAGATAAGTGGTGAGGGAATATAGGATCTACTCATACAATAACAAAGCTACTTCTAACATTTGCACTAATTACGAAACATTGGGCGTTTTCCGTTCCAAAGTAGCCTTGGAGCTGCTTTCGATACCGGAATCCTCGTCACCGCTGTCGAGGACAGTACCCTCCCCCTTGACAGTTTCCACCGCCTTAACCTCCTCTTTAGTCTCCGTACCTTCTTGCACCTCATCGAGGATCATTTTTTGCTCTTGATCAGAGTTTCTAAGGATACTCTTGCCGAATGTTGAAAATGTCGGTTCGGGGACGGGAATATCATCGGCCTCTTTCTGTAGTGGAAGGTTGTTGGTCACGGGGGTTTCGTCTGTCATTACTAGAGGAGTCGGGGTCGTTGGAGGCGGCGCCAGAGGGATGTCGGGGTGGCGGCGGCGGGGTTTATCCAGGACAAAGTTGAATACTCGCGCGTGTCTTGGTGACGGAATATGTGGCGACGGGGGTAAATCCAGCTTCAGTTTATCCCGAGTATGCCGCAATCCACCCAACGCTTCTCCGCCTGGTGAACTGGGACTTACAGATTCACTGGAACTGCCGCTGTCGACTCCCCGCCAACATTGAGTCTCGCTTTCTGGTAACTTCTTTGTTTTGAAATCTTCTTCTGTTGTCGTTGAACCGGGTGTTATGTCTTCCACGCCCGAATCTGGGGTTGTGAAGTCCAGAGATGGTGTTCGGGTTTGCGTGAGGGAGGGCACAGAGGGCGTTGCGAGGGGTGAAGGAGGAGGCGGGAAATGTTCCTCAGTGTCGATATCTCCCTCCAATAGCGATGGTTTGATGTGTTTGCCGGGGAAGAACTGGCTGGTCGTGGACATGATGCCGAGGCTCTCAAACGGGCGGGCCGATGATGATATGAAGAAGTCTTCATCATAATCTGTTAAAATTAGATAAGTCCATCATTGACATTCTCAAGAAATACGACTTATAAAGGCGGAGTAATCGAGCCATTAAACAAGTATAATAGTCGTTATTACAACAAACCTGCTCCAAAAGCGATGCCAGCGCGTAAGGGGTACAAATCAAGTGGACTGGGTCCCCCGAACAGCTGTCCGTACCCTAATTCCGCTTCCTCGGCGCTCGTTGGATCCCAGTCTGTAATATGGATGTTTTTGTTAATGTAAACTATACATACAGCAACATTAAGTTAATATTTCAAACATCTTGTATAACGCTATCCTCGAATGATGACTGTATGCTGGCCGTGTATTGTGGCGTTTATTCGGGAAACATATATCATAACCATAATTAATTTATTTGTGAAAACAGGTTGTATTACAGTTCACATTTACAAAATATAATATAGTATGGAGTCACTGTGTCCAGTCAACCATTTGGCATACAAACATATTGAAGGTATATTATAAATTTACTCCCACGCACTTCAACAGCATAAAACATAAAATATAAAATGACATTTCGTCTCTATTTCTGGTTACATACTCTATGATTTGTGGTCATATACTCGATGAAGTGAATCAGTCCCCTTCGGCCGCGTACGAAACCGGAGGTTCGTAACCAGTTGCGAAAGTAACATAATTGTGTTTTGTACGATACCAGTTAATCAGTCAGCAATTTAAACGTGGTGTTTTATGTGTCAATTTTCATGATAATAATATTGCAAAATGCGAAGGGGCGCCTTCTAATTACACGCTTGTAGAAATGTTCCAGGTACTAATTTTCATACAATATTTAGAAGCGTAGTTGCAGCGCCACGGTTGCGTCACTTTAGCAGACTAGAATTCGTCTAATTTGAAGACGCTCTAAATCTCAAAATAGTAAAATCAAAATATTTTTTTCCCGAGCATACCATGCTGCCTAGTCATTAATATAAAAAAGTTAAAAAATTTACAAAGGGATTTGTCATTTAAAAATCTGGACTCTGCCTAGTAAATTTTATTATTCAATGAGCATTAGTTACACACAAAAAGTGTCTAGGGATCAAACACGTTTTTGCCAATTACTGATAAATCAGTTTTTTTAAATTACTTTTTTTAACACAGATGGTTTTTATGGTCAATTTTATAGTTTCAATTTAAAAATTAAATTGACCAAAAAATCCATTGATATTAAACAAACATTAAAAACCCTGATTTTCCGTAATTAGCAAAAACGTGCTTGATCCTAGACACTTTTGATGTTTATAGTTTAACGTTTTTCTCAGACATGAGTACAGCTGTCGGTAATTATTGAATATTTGAATGTGAATATTTGGCGCCATATTCAGTCAGAATGAATTACATAATTAAGATAATTTTCTGTATTTTTGGTTTCCTGTATTTTTCTACAAAAGCATATAAGTAAATATTGTTATAAGTTGAATGCATTTATTTAAAATACTACTGTAAGAAGATACTCTTCACGTTGAAGGTTGCCTAAAAGAAATTGCTACTTAACAAGAACGCATGTTAAAATTATATAGTTATATTAGGGCGCGTTCCCACTATGCAGTGACGACAGATTGTCGTGCAGTTTACAGTGTCGTGGCTTGTATATTTAAATGAAGTTGTTCACATATAGCACGACACGATTAACTGTCGTTCACGATTTTTTATCGTTACAACGACAAACTGTCGTCACAGTGGGAACAGCTTGAACGACAGTCATCAGACGATAAAACAACGTCACGATAAAAACGTGACGACAGATTGTCGCAGCTCCTATTGTCGTCACGCTTTATTTATCGCTGTCCGCACGTATTCTGCTCCCTGCCCTCCCCTCTCGTACCCCGCGCCCTCTGCTCGCTTTGCATTGTGAGTAGCGTCGGGTCGTAGCCAGAGATGGGCAAGCACCCGGGTTTTAACCCGGCGTTTTGTTAATTATACATATTATTACAAAATATTTGTTGCTTGCTTGTTGTTATTATCAGGACATTTCGCTTTACCTTTCTATTGAATAGATTCGCTTGAAAAGTTCATAAATAAAGATACAAAAAATCGTTAGGTCGTATTCACTTTAATCGATCTTCATTGAGAATCCACAGGATTGACAGGTGGTGGGTATTATGTGGAGATGCCTCTTAGATTCTTCGTGTAATAGAAATATAGAAATTTGTTACAAGTTATTGTATGTTATGTTGTTAGTGTTGGAATTATACCAAATTCTGTACTCTTCGTTTCTGCCCACGATTTTGGGCAGAAATGGGTTAAAACTCGGCGCTTCGGATAAAACCCTGGTGAAAATACGGGCTGGTTGATTGGGTTTTAATCCACTGCCCATCTCTGGTCGTAGCAGGTTTTGACAATATCGAAAAGAAAGCAACTTCGTATACCGTTTGACATAACCCTAATGGAATTCTTTTTAGTAGCATTGGATGTACCCAAGACTTTCTTTTCTTTGTTTGCTTCCTATTCCGCATTTTTAAAAGTAACACATTATTAAAATTTCGTCTTCATCCATTTCGAGCGCCAGCTTCCAAAAAAACATTTAAGCGACTGTAGTGCATAAACGATTCTGTCGTGCAAACGACAAGGAGGCAGTCGTGAACCGATAAATTGTCGTCACGATCTAGTGGGAACAGCTAGTCACGACAGTCGTTCAACGATAAAAAATAGTCCACGACAGATAGACGTGATATGGGAACAGGCTAGACACGACAGTCGTCCAACGATAATAAAACGTGACAACGTAGTGGGAACGCGCCCTTGGTGCTCTGTGTCGTTGTTGTATTTTATTTACGTCCAATAAAGTATATATCAATAATAATAAGCATAAGTAGTATGAGGTATAGATAAGGGTCAATTTACATTGCCGCGGAACGAAAAAAATGAAAATATGAAAGCTAATTTTTCTAACAAAATTGTACAAAACATAATAAACTTTATAATATACAAGTTTTTTTGTAAAATATTAATACATTATATTAAATATTTGTATTAATAATTAAAAGTTTACACATGCTACAACAAGTTTACAACGCTAAATTGAGTCTATTGTACTAGTATATTTACCGCAGTAAGTGGAAAGATCGGGCAGGTACGCGGGCGAGTGCGTGTCGATGTCGGCTACTTCGCGTGGATACTCGTACACGCAGTGATACTTCTGCCGTTTGAACACTACGCGCTTCTTGCTGTCCTGTAGGTTAATGTTCGTGATTATAATTTTGTTGTTAATTTATTTTGAACTACGAAACCAGCACGAGTGCTGTTAGGTTTAAAAAAGTTGAAACAAGGACGTCATGGAAATGTCTTAACTAAATAGGTAATATTAATATAAATTAAAGCCATTTTGGGATAATACTATGTTAGTTGACATGTGCGTATGTATCCTTAATTTAAATTTAAATTTTCTTTTGTAGCAAGTCCTAAAACTTTCTCCTCAGAAGAGACCCGCGGCCAGCAGTGGGACGTGTAATGAGTTGACGATGATGATTACGTACATAAATATTTCAACACTAATGTATAAGAAACCTCGAAAGAACACTTGACTTGCAATTTAAATATAAATATAAAAATAGAATTAAACTTACGGGTGGTGCTTGCTCAAGACTGCGCAGCGAAGACTTAGAAGGGGCGGCTAAACAGTCCCATGAAGAAGGGACGAACTCCACTTCATCACCCTCGGACCCTGATCCAGAGTCACCTGAGCCGGAAGCGTCGGAGGCGCCGGGGCTGGCGTCACCCTCGCGCGTCCCGCGCGTCTGCGCGCCCCCGCCGCCGCGCTGCATTACACCATGCTAACAGTTATTTATTCATTGTAGGTGCAGAAAGGCTTTCGAAACGATGTGACAACGTCGGCAATTTTGGCTCCAAAAATTTTGCTGTGCTAAGTGTAAAAAATACTTAATGGATTCAAAACTTTCAAAATACAAATTAACACACAGTTGTACAGCAAAACTCTATATACTATTTGTTTTTTGCCGTTTGCAACGAAGTTGTCAGATCGCATTTCGGTGATTTTAAATGTGAAGTGAAAACATGATTTTAAAGCAATTTTTAAAGAACTTTTTACAGTTTGTGTTCGAACGTAAGATTACATTGTCTTTGCCGCCCTTATAAGGTAAGTAGGCAATTAAGAACAAAGTGGCCAGAACGTTTTTTATTGCTGTTCCGTCCAAGAAGTATACAATGTTTTTCATCACACTTGCGAAGAAGTAAAAAAAAAAAGAAAATTAGACTTAAAAATGTCATAAAGTATTTGTATTAAACATCTTTAACTATCTCATTGCTCATTGCACCACACCCAGCCAGAGTAAATCTGACCCTGATAAGTCGGAAAGTATGACACGCCCTAGATTGAGGAGGGGAAAACCAACCAGCCACAGCCTATGGCCAGATTCCTGCCGGCTTTGCAGCGCGTGACAGAAAGTAGTAAGGGTAGTTAGTTATTTGGGTAGGTGGTTAGGTAATGTTATTAGGAATGAGCGTTGATGGTGTTGTGCTTCGTGTAGGAGTAAGTGGTCGATCGTGGGTGAGGTTGTCTTTAAATATCTCAAAAAAATCTTACTTATACAAAGGAAATAAAACTATTATTTCAGATTTAAGTCCCGTGTGTTTGTCTTTTCAAACTACAGGTCCTTTACAGGTCCCATGGACAGGGCCGACTGCCGTGACCAATCACTTGTGTAACAATCGCGAAAACCGAAGAACTCGTTACTTATACAAATTCAGGGGGTCCTACTCCAGTTCTCCATCCGACATTCGTCCGAAACAATTACTGTCAAATAAGTAATACTCGACCAAATTAAGACGCACGATACGAATGAAGCTGCATACTTCACATTGTTTTTTGATTTGGCAAGTATGACTTATTCGACAGTAAGCGCCCATTCACAAGATAAGAAAGTATTCGAGCGACCGCCCAGTTACCACGCCTTCATGTACATTAATGGCGAATCTGAATTCTATTTATTACGCAACAACATTTAAATTCCTCTCAATAAAATTACCGCGCGGCTGCCGCGTACACCAAATTCAAGCCAGGCTGGGCTAGCCTAGCTTGAATTGCGCGTGCCCGGAACGCTCATTTAAATTAAAACGTAAATGCTAAACAGATAGAGCGTATTTTGCCATGACAGTTAGACGCACGCGGTTGCTGGGCGGCGGCAACGCGGACCCCGCTCTTCGACCGCGCGGGGTGAGCACGATGACATTCATGTCGAATAAATGGGCCCTAATTGTTTCGGACAATCGCTCGAATGTTACGCGATTACTCCGAATCGATCCAAAAAAAAAAAAATCAGACGAATTGAGAACCTCTACTCGCTCTACCGCCCTTATGATAAAAATACCACACAGTTTTGCAGCATGTTATACTACTTACAGACAAGTGTGATGAAAAATAACAAATGAACGTCTTACTTTTTACTTTTCTGTATAAATTACCTAATGATCCTTCTAGACATTGTGCAGTTCCATTAAAATAACTTTCACATTCGTGTAGTAAACAATTTATAATGAATCAATGGATTGTGGAAAGACAATGGTAAGTCAATGGAGTGCAAATGAAAATGAATAAGAAATTGCATAAATGGTACATACTGGACATTGTTGATGATGGAATGGCATGAGAACGATGTAACAGACGAAATTTCTCAATTCTTAATGAGGAAAGCATTGTTTAAAAAACTACAGATGAAATAAAATAAGGTATGATAGCAACGCATGCAATGAATAGGCCTAGGCACACCGTAAGCAACGCGATGTAAGCAACGCCAGAAATTGTGATCCAAAAACGATTGCTGAAATTTAAATAAAAGGCGCAATAGCTGAAAAATTCTGATCTACGTTAAGACGTTTTTACAGGTTTTGGATCATAACAGATCACACCCGAATGTAAGGACGTCTGAAACCGAAATTGTTATGTTCTTCATCTTATATATTAGTTTGATATTCAAAAAAGGTGTTTTTTTGTTTTGTTTTTGCTTTCTTTTTTCCATTGATATAATCACGCAATTTATATTTTCTTGTTTCTGAATGCCGTGTAAGTTGTCATTTGGAATGTAGATTTATTGATGTTTTTCCTTTGTATTCTTTTATAATAGTGTTGTGATCTGTTTTCTGTAATTTGTACCATTACAAAAAAAAAACAATCTCGAGCATTTACTTGGCGTCTCACGGCTATAACACAAGAAGTAATTTCCTTACTTTCAATATGGTAGATAGGATATGTTCAAGTACAAATATCAATAATAAAACACATTAAAATGAATTTTCGATTTTACTAACCGGTTCACGGCGACTTTAGCAGCGATGCTAACGAAACGCGCGATTGCACCGCTACACTTGCGATTTATAGACGACTGCATCGATACAGTCGCTTATGTTCAATCATTACGTCCGAAACATCTGTATAGGTTTATGCACATTGTTTTGTTTTGTTAATTGAAAATTTAAGTGTAATTAATAAATACATTAAATAAATAAATAAGTTAATGAATTTAAAACGTGGATCGTGTTTGCACTGCCTTTGTATCGCTGCTCAGAGACGCGCGTGTGTGTAAAAGTAGACGATTAGCGACTGCACCGCTATTGCATCGCGTTTGCATCGCTGCTGATCAGTTGTTTGTTAATAAAATATTTATTATAACTATTAATACAAAGATCGAACACTTAGAAAAAATTCCTTCGATTCCGCCGGATTCGAACCAAAGTCTTCTAGCAAACCGTGCCATAATAACAAACTAGTGGAGTAATTTCACAAAAAATAATTGAATATCAATTCAAAGCAAATTTAACTAAAGTTAATAGCGACATCTCTAGCCAGGGCTCGTAGCTGTAAAGTTACCTAACTGGGTGACGAAATTATTTGATAGATTTCTCATAGATGGCACTACGGCCAAAAAGTCGTTGAAAACCAAATACAAAAGATCCGACAAACAAGCACATGGAAAAATTCGAGGTCCGCTGGTTCGTTCCGTGGCTTAGTGGGCATAGTGTTTGGCTCGGTTTGCTAGAAGACGTCGGTTCGAATACGGTCGGAACGAAGGACTTTTTTCTAAGTGTATTTTTGTATTAATAATTATAACAAACTTGTGGAGTAACTTCACAATAAATAATTGAATATCAATTCAATACGAATTTAATGAAAATATTTATAATTATTATTAATTTACGAGGTTGCGAAGTCCAACCGGAATTCGCAACCTCCTCAGCTAGCGACCACCGCGAGGTAGTCCAATTGAGACTATCATTTAGTTTCTTTCGTATATTGCGCATCAAAACGTAAAGATGTTGCCAATATTTTGATGGTATATTCGGGCGTTGCGACGTCGCGTTACTTGGACATGCCAGGCAGACTTACGTGATCGAAGTGCGTAGTGGGCACGACTGCCGTCTCGTGGCCCTCCCCGTCCTACCACACAACACATGACATGCAAGCACACCGACACCTCGGCACAGTTGTAAACATGTTAGGATAAATTAGGCTGAATACCAGGGTTCACTATTAGTTGGCTAGAATTAATTTAGCTCATAGTATCATTGAAGAGAAGAATTATGCATCACATTTATGTTATCGAAATAAACAAAGTACCAAGCAAATCACCAAGTGATTTTATATAACGTTACAAAGTTATACATGTTTACAACTTTATAATACGGATTGAGATTACATTATTACTATTATTTACTTACTACTTAGGATCAATTTACATTGCCGCGGAATGGAAGCGTGTTTTTGTAACGAAATTGTGCGTAACGTAACTTTATGTCAATTGTACGGACAAAATATACTCTAGCCAAATGTTTATTAAAAAAAACGTTGCTGCCTAACACTGATGAACTAGAAAAATAACGTTTTTTTTCAATGCTCATTTTTCAGGCTGCTCTGCCCACAGCCTGATCGCGTAATTGGGATTTAAATAGGTAAGTGGGTATTTGGGTTATGTAGAAGTACCTACCCAATTAATGATTATAAAGTTTACAATGTAATTCTATTCAATTCAAATCATCTTCATTTCATCATGATCATCATATCAGCCGGAAAACGTCCATTGCTGAACTTAGCAACCCCCCAAAAGATATTGAATTAACATTTACAATATTTATTTCAAACATGTTAGATTGAGACTACCTAAGAGCAAGTGCTAAATGAGTCACTACCACGGATTCTCGTCTTTCCAGAACACAGAAGCTGTTTAGTATAAAGGGCAAATTTTGACTATCAACCAGAATCTTAATCATTGTCCCCTAAAAAGAATTTATGACTTTGTGAAGATAACTGTTAATAATAGCTAGTTTATTTTTATTCCTCGTGCTAATGTGACGTCTGTCACTAATTTTAATTAAAAAAAATACTATTATTCTTAACATAAATAACGTGTCCGTAAAACCGTGACGCTAGTGTAAGAATGTTAATCTCCTTAAATTTCTCTTTGTCTGTCATGTCTTTAAAAATATCTGTTGATACTAATGGTTAATGAATAAAGTAATTAAGTTTTTAAATCCTACTAATATTTACTGCTCTATAGTAAATAAAACGATAAATGAAAAGAAAATTGAAAGATTGTATTTAACATTAATTTACTACATAACTCATCAAGCATCTATTTCCGCAAGCATTTATTTTCTATATTCTCAACTTGAAGTTTGCAATCTCTCCCTTCAAATAAAAAAAATCATTACGGATGGGCATCGAGTATACAATCAGATTTACCTGATTGGCCTTATATCACTTTTAAATATCAACTCTCGTTTGCGCTGAAATCACAAATTAGAAAACTGAAACAGTACAACGTCGACAACTGACCTGTGTGGACGTCTCCGTATATTCCAAAAATATTCTATATTTATTGTAATAAAGATCTCTAATAATGGGGACTGTTCCATTCGGTGGTATGGGAAAAACAGCAAAACATCTAATTACAAAACAAACGGAATCACATTACATCAGTAATTAAATATGTAATTTTGCAATTATCGTCCAGTATAGCAAAGTTTAAGTTTAACTGGTCGATTTAAAGTGAAACAATTGACGACACCCATCAATTGTTTCGAATTCGGACTGGCCAATCGAAGCGCAGTTGACACCGTAATGATATGGCAGAATAGTTTTCAAATAAATTAAATGACATTTCGTCTCTATTTCTGATTATATACTCGATGCGGATGGCATAGTTTTATAAATAAAATAATTTGTTTTACATTGACAAGAAGCAATTTATCAAATCTATCCTAATTTCAAGTGGTAACAAACAAATCAACTAGATGGCGCTTATTGCACAGAAATTTGTGGATAGTGTCGGCTATTATTTTATTTTGTTTAGGATTAGCGCCATATTAGGAAGCGTTAATTTATAACCAATGGTCGGAAAAAATAGATACATGTATAGATATAGCTACAAGGAGCGACGTAGAGTTGTTAAAACCAAATATTGATTAATCACTTTTTCGATTTCCGGAAATGGTTTTACTGTATCGTAGCACAAACTACTAACCTAGGAAGTAGAAGTCAGTAATTTTCAGTAATTAGTCACCTTGGTCAGTAATTTTGTCTTGCGATGCAGTAAAACCATTTCCGGAAATCCGAAATTCGCCATCTATATATAAGATGGAATTTTGGCCTTTTCACAGTTACGATGTGTAGTCTGGAGATTAGCAATGCTCTTGACTTATTAGTCCACGATATTATCAATAGCGAAATCGAATTTCGGGGAAAAATATTGAAATTGTGATAACTGTGAAAGAATCCAAGGTGAAAACCGTAAAAATCGTGTTTTTGTTTGTTGTCATTTCGGTGCCTTCAGTGAAAGAGGGAATAATTCAAAATCGACACTTTTCAGGGGAGGAAAAAACCATACTTTTATTGATTATCGATTGTTTGTATTTATTATTCGTACTTTTTGTGATTTCTAGCTTAAAATCCTTAAAGGAATAAAACGACAAGTTTTCTGTTGCGAACTATTAACGAATAGCAACACGGTATAGTCGCGCTTATGACAAATCTAACAAACGGAATGCTCAGTTATACCTTTATGTACACTGTGGTATAAGACAATAGTCGCTATAGTCCTACTTTTTTCCCAGTCATTATGGAACAATAAGAATAGTGTCTTTATGTACAAATATATCTGTACCTTTAGGCTCATAAAATATGCCCGATAATTAAAATTATGTCTTTAAAAACAGTGATTCACGCCCTTAGTACAATAAGAAAAAGGACGTTAGGAGACTGCTAGAGAGATGTCATATTGATATGTTATTTAATCGTACACGCTGAAGTCAATAGTGTAATAAAACAAAAGGGCATAACTCGTTTTAGTCCGTTTTTCACTGGAGGCACTTATTTATTCTAAATAGAATTTGTTTAGGTACGATACGGTAGGTACGAGAATTCCCGAGACTGTGCGTGAGAATTCTCCGTAGTTTGTACGTTACAGAATTGACAAAATGTTAATTATGGTATGGTTTCAAAAATTCGCTTCTATTCGTTCGGGAATGTAAATTGTGCATTAGATTATGTCTAAGGGGATTTCTGATAGACGTAGAGATACTTTCTTGCATTTAATAAGCTAAAGGGAGATATTTAACAAGTTTAATAGGGACTATTTATACTTTGGGGGTACTTTTTAGTAAGCAGAAATATTACTAAGTACCACACCACAATATTAAACATACAGCAGTACTGCCCTCAAAACGAAAAAAGGCACAACTGCTGTATAAAGTACGCATAGTTGTGCCCTTTTCGTTACGAGGGCAGAATATGTAACATAAGTAACCTATTTTATTACAGACTTATAACACAATAATACAACATAGGCCTTGAAACGAAGAATAGTAAATTTTACAAAGGGAAACTGGAATCTAATTAGTGATACTGACATTAGGGCTTATGTTACATACGAAAATCTTTACAAAATATTTACAATTCTTTTGACGCTTATTCACTATTATTAAGTGCCAAACATGTCTTAATAAAGTACTAACCTTCCATATAAACTCGCCGCTGGAAGAATTACTGGTCTGAGAATCGCTATCGCTATCCCACTCTTTCGCGATATCTGCAGCTGTGTCTGGTTTGCTGTCTTGCTCGCACTCAGGGGAGTTAGGATCGGTAGGCGAATCTTGCGTGAAAGAGGTACTCATTATTTCTGATCCTGGACCTAGAAATTTAAATTTAAAAAAAAAATTGTAAATTTCGGTTCTCTTCTCTTACTATCAGGGTAGAAGTAATAGGTCTTTATGGATTTGTTTATTAGACAAAAATGGAGCTTGCAGAAATGGTTTTAAGTTTCACTTTAAATTGTTTTTAAAAAAGTTTCAAACAAAAGAGCACATTATCTTTTTTAAAATAATTATGATTTTTTTTAAGGCGTGATTCATATTGAAACTGACTGTACTAGATCCGGTTTGTATAAAAACATAGAAGACCCATCAGTCGAAGTTTGCAGTCGGCACTGACTGCATTGTATTTGTTGTGTCGATATAAAAATACAGTATTCAGAAACTTATGAAAATAAACATATCACTTAATTTGTCAACAAACTTACTTCCTTACACTGCGGTGGCATTTGCAAGCAAAAAGGTAAATTAAAGGTGCCATTAAAAATCGTTCAAATGTGAAATAAATCTGTCGAGAAAAGTTCCAGGGATCGTGTTGTTTCACCATTATATTGATTAAATTTTCGAGAAATCGTTTTGCCGTTATTGAAAAAAAATTAAATTGTTTCTGACATAAAAACATGTATACTCCTATGAATGTTAATTGTTGCTTTTAATTCCCGAACCCATTCAGAGGCTTGCAGATAAACTCTCGACTGCATGCATTACTGTAGACATGAAATCAATTTGTTACGAGCCCAAGAAGGTTTTTGTTGCATACAAGCGTATTGAGGACGTCGACGTTAATTCACCTATACAAAAAGCACGCGCCTATAGCAATAGTGATATAAACCTATGACTTGTTAGGCAAAATACGACTGACGCTAAAGGTTGCAAAGTAGGCAGGCAAAATACGACTGACGTTAAAGGTTGCAAAGTAGGCAACTAGAAACAAAACTCACCAGTGAATCGAATATCGTGGAGTAACGGGAGATAGTTATCCATCTGGCAGAACTTCTTTTCATTCTGCAAGAAATTCTCTGTAACTGATGTCACCTTTTCTTCCTCTACTCCATTAACTTCATGGTTTTCTAGGTGCTTAAGCTGAACTGCATTTTGCTCCTGTTCAAAACTATTTAACGTCTTATCTTCACGAGATTCATTTTGAGTCTTATCTTGACTAGCATTCGTATCTTTTTCTTTTGACCCTCCATCGACGTTACTTTCAAGGAGTTCTTCAAACGGTTCTGTTATAAAATTCACTGTTGCAAATTTTTCGCTTCCGTTGCATTCAGTGACTTTATGTTCTATAGACCCATTTATTTCTTCGTGCGTGTTTTGTGTTTGAGATGCGTCTAGATTTTCAATGCCTTGATTTTTAGTAGACACGGGTTCTTCTTCCTTTACGTAATCATTTGGTCCTTCAATACCATTTAGTTTACGGTCTCGGTCTGTAGTTAGTACCTCGGGAGAGCAAATATCTGAACCGAAAGAAGAAATTGGATGTTCCTCATGAAAATTACATGTTGTTTTCAGATTTTTATTTTCAGATAAATCATTACGAAGACCAATTAATGCATTTGATAGAGTTGTAATTTCATACGGCTTTATAGGTGTTTCTTTAGGAGATTCTCTGTGAACCTCGGTGATTATAAACGAATGTGGTTGCTCATTTTCATCATCAACGTCTAAACTTGTTAGAAATGTACCAAGTGGGGTATTTTGAACTATTTGAGATTCATTTACGTTTGTAATATTGGGCGCAAACGTTACAGTTTCGTTTATAATTGGTCGGGAGTATTCTCCATTAGAACTTACTGTTTCATTAACTTTATTATCAGTAAATAGTTTACTATCCGCTGGAGACGACAAGTCCTGTGGACAACCTTTCACAGAGTTCTCAAACAGCCGAAAGTCCCCCGAACTCGGAACACTGTCGTCACTCAGAATAGATTTTAAATGGGTACCTAGGAGTTTACTGACCGTTGAGCTTTCCAAATCAGAATGTGAAGGCGTTGTTTCAGCTGCAGTTGGATCAAAATTACTAACATCACTTATAGAATCAGATGGCTGTGTAATTACGTTTTCCGGTACTCTAGTCGTACTACTTTCGACCGGATCGCTTCGAATATCGTATGATTGTCGCTCACTGTTTAATAGTAAGGAACTAGCATCAATTACCGATGACAAATCCTGAGCACGGGCCCTTACAGAGCTTTCGAACTGTCCGAAATCACCAGAGCTCATTCCACTTTCCAAACTTTGACTAGATTTAGAATTAACTTCTTGTGATCTCGCAGCTGCTAGTGTTTCGAAATCTGTGTATAGAGGTGTCCGTTCAATTACATTTGGCCCATCGTAGTTGCTATTCAAGATCTTGCTATCTGCTTCTAATAAAAGTCCGGTGTCTTGGGTAATGCTCACATTTTCGCCATTACAATTAGACAAAACACCCTGTGGCCTGATTTCAGCAGATTGGAGAAATACTTGGGAGTTGGGAATATTGGACGTAGTGAATTCTGAACTATGCATCTCCTCATCAGGTAATTTTATAGGAACATGCTCAACGTTGTCATCATCCGCATTGGGTTCTACTAGAGGGGTGCTCGTGAATGAAGGAAATAAATCATTCCTAAAGTTACGCCTTGGAATGTCATCTAAATCAATCAACGTACCCTGTTCTATAGAATCATCAGTTTTATTCTGAACAGAAGTCAAGTCGTCTCGCAAATATGATAATTCGACACTGTCCATTTTCTTAAAACATGGTTCTGATGCAATTTGAGGAGTGATTATTTCCATTTTGTCTTTGACCTCGGTGTGTTTAGGAGGAGTTAAGCTTACTTCATTGTCTTGAAAGGACCTTCGAATCAGTTCAGGTTGGGCGATTTTCCATGGGTCATCAGCAGAAGGAATACCTGACGCATATTCAGTTGAGCAATTAGAATAAGACGGCAAAGTACCATATGCTAAATCTTTAGTCTGAGTATTGCCAATTGAAGTCGCTCCCGTCGCTTCTGTTTTAACTTTTGTATATGTATAATTGTCGTTAGCGGTGATAGAATCGGGTGTAAACGTTTCGCAAGGTTCGGATTTGCTGTCATGGATGATGTAAGTAGAGCAACGACTAGCGTCCCTATCGTTATCATGGTGCGTAAGAGTATCGGTATTGTCGCTGTGGTCTTCTTTGTCTTCATACCTGAGTGGTATATCAGGATCCAAAGCCAGATCGTCAAAATTTTCTTCGACGTTGTATAGAGTATCGTTAGAGCACCAGGAGTCGATGCTAGTAGCTTTTGATAAACAATCGGAAGGTTTCGAATGTTTGGCGTCGGTAGGTGCCGTAGTTCTCGACAGTGTGGAGACACGTGTAGCATTGTCGGAGTCGCCTGGTGCAGACGCATCTGTGGTAGGGCTTAAAAGAAAGGGCGACACTTGGGAGATTCTCTCCAAGTTTGATTCTTTATCGTCCTTTGTATATGTTTTGTCGTTGACTGGTGACTGCGCTTCGTTTGAAGAAGGTTTCTTGCAAGGGCTGCCGTTGAGGCTGTCCGCACTCATTGAGAATCTAAGAAAATGCAGATGAATTTCAATATAATTATAAGTGAATTTTATACACTTTCAAAAAAATCTGGTGACAAGTAAATAAAAAGTAAAAAAAAGTAAAAAGTACTAGGCACCATCGCAAGATTCGAAAATCTATTAAACGAAACGAAAAATACTCACTCTTTACTGCTAGGTATATCCTTCTGTATTGTGTAAGTGTTATGTTTTGAGTATATCGTGTAAGTAGAATGGTCTCGCGAAGTAGGCGAGGGAGGTGCATCCGGTCCGTCCGGTGCGGTAGGCAGATCCGTCACTTCATCGGTCGAATTGTTGCAAGGTTCCGGATATGATTCAGAGGAATCCGTACGCGTTGATGGGTTCCCTGTAATGAAATGGCGAAATTATAATTGCAATAATTAACTGACGACATTTCGAAATTGGCTTAAAACCACAGTTCATTAGTTATTCACATTTTTTTTACGTTAGTCACATTCATCAGTTCATTCACTGATCCCACGGCGCCGACTCAACCGGCGAGAGGGAAACCCGGGGGGTTTTAGTGGGGTAGGCCCTCCAGTCTGGAGGGAGAGTCCTCACATAACCCCTGAGTTTCCCTGGGCTCGGGGGTATCCATAAAGATTTCCCCCCATCAAAAAAAAAAGGTCTAAAACGTGCAATTATTTCATTAGTTATTTTACCGACATATTTAAGTAAGTATGCCCGAGTACGTTGTACCGTGACCTCACATAGGGTCTTAACTGTAATACAGTGCTGGTAATGCATTGCATTTTCCAGTAAATATAGAGTTAGTGATCCTTTTGTTGTCGTATCTGGCACCAACAAATATCTTTATACCTAGTGTCTTTGTTGAAGTGTTTTATTAAATTTTTGTGTTGTTTGTGATTTACTTTTATTATTATTTATTTGTGTCTTACGTGTGAATGTTTTGGTCAAGTTTTAAAAATATTTTTTCTTCTTTTTTCTGTTTTGTCTTTATTTTTCTTATGTGATGTGGTAGCCAAATAAAAGTACTTTTGTTCTTCTTTCCGTCTTGCAACTTTTCACGAGTGTCTTAATTCTAATTTTGGTGATTATTCACAGTCGTGCATTGTTAAACTTTAAATAGTTAAACGTGTAACTCACAAGCATCATTTTCGTAAGCACTGAGTTGGTGGCGAGTCTCCTCAGCGATGGGGCTAAGTGCACCGGGCGCTCCGCAGTAACTGACCACCAATTCCGGTGGCGGCGGTAGTTCTGACCACTCCGGGTCTTCGGCTGGTTCTATTGATGCTACCTGGTAATATGAATTATGTTTCTTAAAATGTATTAGCAAAGGTATAATTATATGGTATGTAGCGTTTTCCCTATGTTGGTACTGAAGTGGTAAACGATTTTTGTGTGTGCACAGACCGTTTATCGAGAATTCTAAACGCGTTTAACGCACTTCAGAGAAGTATTGCTATGTCTATGTGTCTCATATTTTTTTGTTTTAAGGTTCTGTTTTTTAACTTGCTCGCTAAAAAATTCAAAACAACTTCATTTCATAGGTAAAAAACACTTCAAATCGACTAATAAAATTCAATCATCGTTAGGTAGTGACAAGACTCACCTGCGCCAATGGTAATTTCAATTCCAGCTCGTTTCTCAACGCTTTCACACACTCTTCATCCAATGAGAATTTATTTCCAAGATCTTCAATTGACCCACCATTACCCGCTAGAAATATATCAGGCGTTGCTTCACTGTCTCGCAATATGATATCGTCCCCAGAAACTAAACCTTCTATGGTCAAAGGCCCCAAATATTCTATATTCATATTGTTTTCATTCTCTGCCATTGCAAGTTTTGATGTTATTTGTAACTCGATCTGGTTTAAGTCTATCTCTTTTTGTAAAGAGCTCAGGCCAGAATCGGTCTCCATAGGGGGAAGTTCATGAGCATCGAAATCGATATCAACTAAATATTTCTGCTGGGATGTCGACGCCAAGTAAACTCCAGGAGAATTAGGCGGTGTTGACGGAGATACGTGTTTAGTAGTCAGTGATTGGTCAGTTTCATCCGTGTTGTCAGTTTTTGGTTCCGATTTCTCAACTTTCTCATCACTTATTGTAACATCTTCGAATGCCAAATCATCGGGATTTATGTCTGGTACTTCATTCAAAAAGTTACCATCACGCAGAGGTGAAGGTGTTTCCAGATTTATCTCATTGAAATTTGAAGAAAAAGCCAATATTTCTTCTTTTGGTATGTCAATATCTGATTTCATATGAAACTCCATTCCTTTTAAAACTTCCGATGAACAGTTCTCAAATGGACCCAGTAGCACAGAGCTATTTTCGTCGTACGTATCAGTAGGGTGACTTTTTGTTGGCGACTCAAATGGGCTCAATGTATGATCCTGTACAAACTTTTGTTCTTGTTTAAATACAGTTATACTTGGATCATTGGGCATCTTCGTATCAGACAAATTCTCATCAAGTTTTCTGGGACATTCTAGGGTATTTTCCACAGAACTCTCACTTCCCTTCGGAGTACTGGCACAAATATTATCCTTGCAATCCTCATCTTTGCTACTTAACACTCTTTCTGCGTGCAAAAACTCGTTTGTTTCTTTTACCATACTTGGCAAGTCTAAGTACACAGTGGAGTCGTCTAATACTGAACCAGTATTTTCAATGTTAGCTGTTTCTAAGTGAGATTGTATGACATCTCTAACATTATTATCTAAAGTGCTGTTTAAGAGCATTTCACTACGATTAGCGTTTATATTATTATCATTAATGAGATCCATATATACGGTGCTGTCGTTCTCCTGCGGGAGTTCAGGTATTTCGCTAACATTATCAGATCTAAAAAAACTTTCATTGATTTTATTGACTTTTACTTCTTCTAATTCATTTACTGATATTTTAGCATTTTCTGCAGCGATTTGTACTATTTGAGATGGCAACACTGGGTCCGAACTTTCTTTGTATGTAGCAATGAAGTCAAACGTTTTTGTTTCGTCTTGAGTAACATTTTTAAGATTAGACTCTTCTAAATTTTGTACGAGTTCAGGTGTCTCGGTTTGCGTCATGCGAAAAGGTTCTGCGTCGTTCACTAATTCATTTATTTTATCGATTTTCACTTCAGTTGGCAGATTAGTAAACATTGCAGAATGTTCGTGTGTTTCGACTTCTTTACCTACTGTGTTAATGAGATCACTAGGTGGTAAAATTGCATCATCACTTGCATTGTTTGCACTTTCACTATTATTTTGCATATCATCTTCCATTTTATTTTGCTCAGCATGTACGCGTTCTTGAATCATCTTAGAAACAATGACGATTGCTGGTTGAATGACATAATTTTCCACTAAATTTTTAGCAATCTCATTGACTTCAACATTTATAGGCAAGGTCACATTTTCCATAGCATTTGCTGTATGTTCATTTTGATTAACATTTTCTATGTTGCTTGGCGTGAGTTCTTGTGTAAATTCTTTTGTTAAGTTATTTTCACTTACTAGTATTGCAGGTTCTTTATCAGTATGTGGAACAGTACTATCTATTGACTTAGTTTTCACTTCTTCAGTCCTTACGATTTCTTCTAATTTACTATCACACGATGGTTCACAGTCTTGTCTTACATTCAATTGTTCATTTGTTGCACTTACACTACATGAGACTACACAAAGATCCTTCAAATTAGGTAATTTACTATTACTATATTCTATTTTATCTTTTGGCAATTCTGTATTTTCACGCAAAGGTTCTTTAACTTCATCTATACCTTCTTTTTCTCTGCGTTCGGCTTCTATTTGACTCTCAAAATTATGTATAGTATCCATGTCTTTAATTGGCGTGTTTGGAGTCAAATTTTCTAAAGTGTGTTGGCTGGTAGTGTCACTATGGCGTTCAAATGAGTGGCTAAGGGTACCAATAGTGTCTCTGTCGACCTCATCATCATCGATAAGCTGAGTGTCTGTTGAGGCATCATATCCAGTTCCTAGAATATGTTGGAAATTGCTTATTCCAGGTGACTTTACCATACTGGACTGAATAGGATAATCTTTCTTGCAATCTAAACTGAGATTATCTCGTGACGGACTGGCTTGGTGGCTCGACTCAGAGCTTGATGTCTTTTCAGAGTTCAAGATATTATCGAGGTTTTTAATGACGTCGCTTACGTCTTTATAGTAGCTCACATCATCTTGACTGCCTGCAATAATATCTTTCAACCATGGGTCCACAGAGCTATCAGAGCGATCGTGATCTCTATCTCTGTCTTCGTAACTAATGTTGCCCTGGTGACACTCGAGAACTGCTGTCTCGTTATGCGTTAGGTAAATGTTACGGACGTCTTCTAATGAGCCATGGAGATTTGTAAGGCTTTCTGATTTGATCTGGACAGATAGAGGGTCCTTATCGGACATGATGCTACTGGAGCGAGAGACTCCAGTATCCATATCGACACTGAGCGTGTCGTGAGTCCCTACTGCAGGATCTAAATCCTGGTCAGAGCCCGTGAAGTGTGAGGCCATGGACGTGGAAGGAGCGTGGACAATTGCTACATGTTCATCCAGTTTGGGGATGGAGTTAGGCTTGAGGCGCTGCCAGCGCTCCTCAAAGTCACTGCTTGCTGGTCCGGCCTCTGTCGCTGCATGTGCGCCTGCATGGGTTGATTGCAGGTGGTTGATTAATGCAAGAACCTGTCCTGCCGTGGGTCTTTCTTCGCCGTCGGGATTCCAACATAGCTGCATTACTTGGTACCTGTTGACAAACATTTTTTCAGGCGTTTTGAATCTTAGAAATTTGGCAATAAACGTTATGTTTCTCTAGATAAATATACTTACAAGTGGCTTCTATAGACACATGGCAAGTCTGGCGGCGATGGTACGTGGACAGGTACTGGGGCGCCCCAGGCACATATTTCCCAGATCAGTGTGCCTAGTGACCATACTTCACTAGCAGACTGAAAGATTTAAATCATTGAGTCACAAATGGATGATAATTACATGCATGTCAATTTTTGAACGAAGTACTTTTCTGGGTCCGATAAGTGTATGAATGATTAGTATTGATTTATGTATTAAAGGATGTTCTTATTGTTGATAATAGGTTTAAGATGATCAAGAGAATCGTTCTTATACCGTATACACAGGAGGATGCCGTCGTGTCTCAGGCGCCGCGAACTCTGGCGATTCAGCTATGGTATAGTTGCCTAGCACACCGCGAGCGTTTTCCGCCGTGGCCGCGTTTCGTACTAGGACGTTGCCGCTGCATAGGTTTCTGCGAAACATAAATATTGTTTGCTACAAACCTTGCTGGCTGCTTTAGTTAACAACACATACAGCACATAGTATAGAGTGTTGGATGAAATAGATTTCGTTACTAGCAGTATGAAAAATCAAAGATTAAGAACCGGTGAACTGTGAACTGTGCATAATGTAGGAAGTCCATGAATCATTACAATATGCTCGGTCACTTGGGGGTGGAGTTAGTGCCAGCGGTTTGGAAAAACTATATGACTTGTTTTCTTGTGCAGAGCAAGTAACCTCTAAACATTGGAGATGTTTTGTAAGAAACCAAATTGCAGTCAGACGTGAAGAGTTGAAAGACCGACCTCAGCGATCAGCTACAATGTTTATGGTGTTTTTTATGATATCAAGAGACGAGACGAACAAAACTGTATTTGATCGGGACTTGTTCCCTGAACGCTATAACTTGGACCTTTTCAAGGCGAGAGTGACTAAGCATTGCTTAGGTGTGCATGCTCCATCGTCATCGTCACTTTCCATCAGGTGAGATGGAGGTCAAATGCGCACTTACTTATTAATAATAAAAAACAAACAAGACGTGAGGCTGGTAATAAGTGACATGTCTATTCATAACAGTTGGAGTAAGTGAGATGAGAGCTTTAAATTGTAAAGATCTGTGCTCACATACCGTTGTGTGCTCAGGTAATTACAAATAAAATTGGCTACGTGAACACACGAGTCGAATTAATCATAGTGGCCGACAACGGTCATCAGATTTTTATTTTTGTATTGTTGATCTTCGTTATAAGCATGGCACCGTATGTAAAAAAAAATAATGATTCGAATTGTACCAACCCGTACAAGTAACCCCTGGAGTGTAAATAAGTGAGCGCTGAGGAGATATCACACATTAGCTGCAAAGGTACACCGTTCTCGTTGAGTATGGCCATTTTGGGACGGTTTACCGTAAGGTACTGTTGGAGATCCTGTGAAAAATTTATTAATTAATAACGCTTAGAATCTAAAAATAAATACAAAATACGAGCTACAGAGTTTTCTACATCAATAATAAGTATAATTGTGCAAATGTAAGTTCTAAGATGTGTCCTGCGATCGGCGCAGCTTTATAAAGCTTGCGCCGATCGCCGATGCTATCGATTTTGTATGAGAATCACGACGGGTTTTCTTTTTGTTCCAAGGGAAACTTTTTTATTTGTAAAATCTCATAACGTTAAAATGTAGAGCTTACCATCGAGCACAGCTCGAATATAAGAATCCACGGGTCTTCCTGAAGGCATTTCGTAATGAATGTTAGTGTGTTCTCGTGTGTAACATCGCGGTACATTTTGGCTTCATCTAGAAAACGCGCTTTGTCCTCTAGACTTGCGTTCTGGTTAAGGATCTTTACGGCTACCGTAGATGTTGAACCTTCATCTTCGATTTCACCTTCCACCACCTGGAAATTTAATTGCTTTTTTTATGATACCACGTGATGAGACGAAAAAGTCATGCGCCTGGTAGTAAGCGACACGCCTGTCCATAATGGTTGCAGTGCTATTCACAACTTTAAGTCACAAAGGTCTTAGTGGTACTGTCACCGCACCCGTCACTCTGAGACGTAAGCACAAGTCCCTTGTGCCTGTAATTTCACCAGCGCCAAATTAATTTAATATAATCTGTCAACACTTACCCTTCCAAACCATCCTCGACCAATTTCGCGCAAGTACTGAAGTCCATTTCTCGGGAAATCTTCGCTACCTGCAAACGGACAGTATGGTTATGCTGATGGACGTCACAAGGTAAACTGCAGATATTTTTTATTAGACGCTGACACTTACGACCTGAATCAAAATAGGAATTCCCTGTACGTAAGAATAACAGGAATGGAATTACGCCGGGGTTTTATCCAAAAAACTCAGACCAGAACTAGTTCTAAGTAAATCGTACACTTTCTCGTCTAGCGCTCCGTTCAACCGTTAAGGTACCAAGGCCGTCAAAATTATTACTTGGAAATCTTGAGTTATCCCATCAAAATTCCTTCTATCTACATGAAAAAGCGTTTTATTTTTTTTGTATTGTAATAAAATATTGTTTTCAATAAGTTTGTGACATTTATTAACAAAAAAATGAATCTGCATAAAAACAATGATTTTATCAAAGTTATTTAAAAACAACAGCTGAGCTGCTTTTTCGGCTTACAGTCTGTTTCTGGATGGTTTGTGAATGATTCCAGTAGCGTGCCTTTTAGGTCATGCTGCGATTCGAACATCCGCAATGAATATCAGCATCGACGAACGTGGATGCCGATATTCGCCACAACCTTGATATGGACGTATATTGCTCAACTTACCGAACCAATCAGCGCAATGTTCCAAAGGATCAGCAACACGAATACCACTGGGCAGTGGTTCGAACTCCACAACAGATTCTCGGCTGACTCTATTCCGTTCTTCGTTTTCGCTAACTATGTACGCTGCTGCATTGTTATTGGCGATGTTCTGCATTTCACGTAGGGATATCGGCCCGTTATTGTTGTCCTCGCTGATGTTGTTGTTAACGGGTTCAGAGAATCCGGAATCGGGTGGATGGGAGCGACGACCATCGTGAAGGTGAGTTGCGCTCGCCGTGAACAACTGGAGGAGAATGTTATAGATCATGAAAGCGGAAGACCTCGCTATAACGTAATTGAGACTAATGATAAAAGTCAGAATCCAAGACGTGCACTGTACAAAATATCGATGGTCTCCCAAATTCGCAATAGGTAATGTTAACGTTACGCGGTACAGACTGTATTTCGTGAAAATGTATATAGTATGTTATAATTATTAATACAAAGGTCGAACACTCAGAAAAAATTCCTTCGATCCGGTGTGGAGTAACTTCACACAAATAAAATTGAATATCAATTCAATAAAAATTTAAATGTATATAGTATTTCTTAAGTAAATTTTTAACTGATATATCGTCGGCTTAGAATGAAAGCCGCATACGCGTTTTTACATAGTACGCTTTTACTGATTTTTGTTGAAGACAATCTCAGTACACAGAAAAACCAACCAAGTCATAAATGACCTAGTTCGCCACCCTTGTGGTGGAACATTTTCTTCAAATTTAAATGGGACCACTACTGAGGTACCCTCTTTCCAACAAAAAAAGAATCATCAAAATGGGTTCACAAAAAGCCGGAGATATCGCGTAAAATACATACAAAAAAACATACAGTCGAATTGAGAATCTCCTCCTTTTTTATTTTATTACGTTTATATTATTACGTTTACTACATTTTACAATACATTTTTATCTTCGTCCTGAAAAATTACATAGAAACACATAGGAGGTATCCACTCTAACACGAAGATATACAAATTACAAAAATGTTTATTACTATCTACAAAAGTACAAAAGTTTTAGTACAATAACTTAATATTGAAAGATTCCTTTGCGAGAGCTGGACCTGTGTTGCGAATCTCCAGGCTCTCCACCACCTAAATCTACATAACTATACAACTTTTATACTTTTTTTACTCACTTTATCACTGTCTTAAAGACAAGTTACTATCTGATAATAGATGTGTTAATAAAACAAAATCTAGATCACATTCTACAATATTTAGTTAAATATTAAAACCATATGCATAGGTAAATAAGGTCACAGCAAAGTACAAAAAACCTCTATTAACTGTAGATTAAATAAGATCTTTACAAATATGATAATAGGAGTCGATTATACCGTCTATTGAAGCCATTAGTACTATCAGTATATGAAATATTAGCACTTAAAAATTTCTACTCGGACGTCAGCATGCATGTTCCTATAATAAACATATTCAAAATTAGTTTCTACGTATGACCCCTGCTTTTTCTCATATAAATGCGCGGTTTGCCCCAGTTTAAGTGCGCTACACGGGAGTTCGTAAACATCTGCTGTTTATCATTTGGTTCACCAAATGTAAACTATTTGCTTACGGGAGGGCTACTTGGTAACTTTAGGTATTCTTAAGCGTCAAATTTCTTTGAGGCAAAATGTGGAGATACCATTTCAATCTTTTGTATTATTTTTTTTTTTCAAGACAAATAATAAGTTAGCACAAGAACTAAAACGATGTAACACAAACTCTATTTTTACCGTACGTTGTTTGTTATTATGAGTTAATTACTCTACGATAAAACGATTGAATATTGGATTTTCTAATTCGGGGTGAAAATCGATGATGAGTGGGAGGTAGATAGATAATCCAATTACTAAAAAATCAAACAGACACAAGAAATAAAACGGTAACATTCCAATTGCTGATTATTATCACACAAAATGTAACATACATAGTTTCATGCAGCTGCATCCGTCACCGGATTTCACAAACAAACATACAGACAGAAAAACAAGACGCACTCTACATCGTGGACTGTCTCTACATCGTACCTGATTGTCGGCTCCTTCGTTAGGCTGGTAACAAAAAAAATCACGTGTGAGAAACCACCTTAGTCACTATTTTCCAATGGACAGATTTATCAGCAATACGTTATGTTGCAGTGATATTGTTGGATTAACTGTATAAGTTATAGTAAGTGTACTATTATGTATGTTGAATAGAAAACAATTAAGATGATGGCTTATCGAGCATGCTTATATATCGTACGTTAAAATCAATATTGTTCCTAAACTAAAATATCAACAACACTCGAAAAAAGACCATTAAATTTTCTAAAAATGAGTTTGAATTTGAAAACGCGAGATTTTCGTTTAGTGACCATATTGGTTTTAACATTCTTTATACAACCGTAGTTTAATGCTATTTTAAATACTAAATATTTAGGTTAACTAAATTTTGGAAAAAAATTGGCGCTGAATCGAGTTCATATTATGAAAGCTATCTCGCCTTGGCGCCTGTGTGGGGTTAAGCGCTTTACAAAATCGTGACCCTTTACATATATTTCAATCTTATGCAGTAAGAAAAAATTAAGTAGCCTAAAAACTTAGGAAATCACAAAATATTTTATATTAAGTCGTTGAGTTATTTGTTGAATGGACAGTCAAGGAAAAATAGTAATATTATTTATTATAATGTCTATTCCCAATTTTATATTCTACTAACACTTTTTTCTCTAAGATTTTTAATGTTATTTTTGTTTAGTAAAACTTATTTATTTTTATACATAATGAAAGGCAAAATGGGATAAGTTACACTTTTGGTCATATTGAGTTGTATATACTGTTGGAATCACCTAATGTCACTGTTTCCAACGGTATATACAGGGTGTAAATTTGAGACGGGGCAGCAACGCCATCGCCAGCCATTTTAAACGTTGTAGTTACAGGAAAACGGTTCTAGAAGACTATCCATGAATTTTAAAGATATTTTGATTGGCATTCACAGATTTTGAAAAAATGGTACAGTTAGCAAGATAAAAGGCAATTTTTACAAAACTTTTTTTTATGCCATTAGATCCTGTCTCTGTTAAGAATCAATAGTCTCTATGGGACCAACTGAGGTAAGAGTACTCGAAATGTCAGAAATCACAAAAAACTTTTTACCATACATTTTGTGGGGACATATTTAGTAATTAGTTATTCGGGGTTAAGGAAACTAACAAATTGACAACGTATTATGTATTTCAAAATAAAAGCAATAACAAAAAGCAAAATAACATAAAAAATGTATCATAATAAGTGCTCGAATAGATTGCCGCCTTGACGGATGCATCGATTCGCTCTCTTCCGCAAAGAACAAGTAGCGGCTAAAATTTTACTCGGATGGATTCCATTGAAAATTGCTGCATGTGCGTCTTTCAATTGTTGAAAACTGTTGTATTTTTGTTTTATAAATTTCATTTTACTAATGCATAATATGTTGGTTTCCTTAATTACCTAGAATAACTGATTACTAAATATGTCCCTACAAAATGTATGGTAAAAAGTTTTTTGCGATTTCTGACATTTGGAGTACTCTCAGTTAGTCGCATAGAGACTATTGATCCTTAACAGAGACCGGGTCGAATAACATAAAAACAGTTTTGTAAAAATTGCCTTTTATCTTGCTGACTGTACCATTTTTTCAAAATCTGTGAATGCCAATCAAAATATCTTCGAAATTCATGGATAGTCTTCTCGAACCGTTTTCCTGTAACTACAATGACTAAGGTGGCTGGCCTTACTGCCCCGTCTCAAATTTACACCCTGTATAACTCAATATGACCTAAAAATGTCGCTTATCCCATTTTTCCTGTCAAGTGTCGATATGTACTTATAATTTAGATTACACAGATCTAGTGTAAATAATTTTTTTTTCCTACATAAATATAAACTTACATGAGTTCTCACGTAATAAATATTACACGAGATTCGGATTAATTTTCTACATCCATGTTTTGATGCCATGACAATTTATATGAGAATATTAAAATACATCCCTTGAAAGATTAAAAAAAAATACTATATTTACTATCAAAACCATAAAAATACCGATTACACGAAAAAAGTTGGTTTTTTTTCTATTTAAAATACGTAATATACCGTTGTCTCTAACAAGTGCATTACTAATGCATCATCTCATCAATTATAACCACAACACGTCCTGGGAACTTTAAAGGAGCCGGAGCCTTAACCTCACTTAATACAAGTAACAGGGTAAAAAAAATAAGTTAGCATTTGATAAAATGTTTGTTTTTATCGAGATCTTGGATTTTCGCGATTGTTACACATAGGAAATGAAAGAATTTTTCCGGATTTAATCGCGTTTATTTGTTTTTTCAAACAAACCGACGTTTTGGGCTCCTCCATTTAAATCCGGAAAAATAGTTTCATTTCCTATATTTAATTTTGTTTAAATAACATCGTGAGTTTGCGATCAAGCGTTCACCTATTTAAAAAAAATACTGCAATTTGGTACACGACTTTACCATTTACACAAATATAAATATGGGTTGTTCGTTTTAGTTATTGTGTAAGGTGTGCGTAGTGGTGGTTAATTTTAACTATCTTCAAAAACAGGTGGTTTCATAAATATCTGTGGCAAGGGCATGTGCAGGATCTTTTCAAAAACTCGATCTAGGACGACCGATTTTTAAGATTCAGATTATATTAAAGTTGTCATAATCCTGAAAAGGTTTTCATAGTGAATTTGTAACTTTTTGTACGTGCCTTTTTAATGTCAGATAATTTTTTTTAAACAATTTGCGTAAATGTTTATGATTTTAGCTAACTTGCTTAACTTATGGAACTGAGATTTCTTGCCGTCTGTACTTTATAAGTACTTAACCAAGAATGAATTGATGATTCAATGCAGACAGCGTTGCATCAAGCTTTAATTCGGCCGCCGGAAACACAATCGTATTGTTCGTATTCGTTCATTGTGTTGGTATATCGATGCAGGACATTTAGGCCTTTGTTTTATAGTCATTCAATATATTGAGTCGAAGAATAGTACAAACTTAATTTTTTATAAAGTTTGTTATTATTAGACTTATTTTATGAAGATCCCAGGCCACATACAGTTTACGTTTCAAATTTAGGCCTCGAACATTGTGCGTATAGCGCTATAAAGCGTGAGTAGCCGCTATCAACATGATAATAATAATAACGCACACAATCGTAGCCCCGCACTAGAGAAACCCTGTATCGCGGGTGCTATGAACGCACACATTCAACATACAATGACACCCAAACTCACGAGAGAAATAAATGTAGAACATACAAATATTTCTTCCGGCCCGAGAATCGAACCCGTGTGGTATTTCAACATGGTAACCGTTCGACCACGGAGGCAGTTAATGATGATGATGTGACCAACTTAACGGTTTTATTTGCGCACGTTGAAACCAATACCGTCACTGAAGGAAAAAGTCAACTTTCGAAGTGAACTTTAAGGCGAAGGTATCGTGGTTGTATTCGTAGGTTTTGAAATGTGTGAGGTAGACGCGGAGAAATTCATTAGACATAAAATATACTCTCTTACTGTAAAATAAGCTCATGGTGTGATGTATTTACTACTATCTGTATCTCTAATAAATAACAATCCAATGAAAACGATTTTTCCGTAGATAAACGTCGTAAAAAATATACAAAACTTTATGTTTTTTTATCGAGTTTGTTTCGGGTCTCATAATTCATTATCGGCTACTTCTTTTCTGTTATCATTATCAATTAAAAACAAATTGGATTCATATTTTTGAATATAACCGATTTTCCGATTGGTCCAAATAGGTAAAAACGTCTAGTTTGAATCTCACTTCACCTTAATGATTCTGAAAATAAGTTCAAATTTCGGAAGGTGAGAGTTTTGTCGTGACGGTATTACTTTCAAACTGCGATATGAGGAAATATTTCAGTTTTTTTTTTACACTAGTGTAATATCATAATATCTTATATATATCAACTAGTTGACTTTGGAAAGTATTTTATTATTCAAGTAGTAATTAATCGTAGTAGCAAATAAGTTCTTGTGGTTAAGATTTTTTGTATTAAGGCAAAATTGACATGGCACTTAAGTACACGAAAACGTGGATTATGCAAGTGCTCCTAGTATTTTTTGTAGCAGTAGAGCTTCTTGCCAAAGAGTTCGTGTCGGGAAGTAGCGTCACCTTATCTACACAGATCAAGAGTCTAGGGATCAAGCACGTTTTTGCCAATTACTGAAAATCAATTTTTAACACCCTTCGCTTTTTTTGGCAATATAATTTGAATTCGCAAATGAAATTGACCAAAAAATCCATTGGTGTTAAAAAAGTCTCAATCAACCTGATTTTTAGTACCAATAACGTGCTTGATCTCTAGACACTTTTGATGTGTGTATTTCTGTCGCCAAGCAGTAATGTGTGCATTACTGCGTTTCGGTTTTGAAGGGTAAGGGGTGAATTTACAGACATATGGGACTTTTCAACTTATGTCTCAGTCAGATCTCTCTGACTGACCTGCAACTGTTATAGACAGGCGTGTCGCTTATATATTAGCTGTCCGCACCTTGGTATCATAAAAAATACGCTACTCTAGTGATGGTATATTTTAATACATATCAGTGGCTTTCTAGGATAGTGGCCTATCTCAAAATCACCTAATTCATCAGGAAGACAATGAATAACAAAACGTAGGTGTATCTGACGCGCAAAGAGAACGAATCGTATAACGGGCTAATGTTATCACGTGATCATTATAATGGAAAGTTCAGCTGAGTGTTTTATTCACGATGAAATTTAACACATTCTGAATTCTGAATATAAGTGTGTAATACATCAAAAAAGATTTTTTTTTCGTTTGTGTCACTATCCTACTAAAGTAGATAGATATATTATATAGGTAGCAATATGTATCGAGATCTTAGGTTTTTGCGATAGTTAAACATTGATTTAATGTCAGCCTGTTAACACCCATTGCTGGGTATGGGCCTCCTCTTTGGCACACCGATCCTGTGCGAGCATCGAGTATGTGCGAGTCTCATCCACAGTCTCCCG